GTCAGCTTGTGGCGGGCGCCCCCCGCGAGAGTAGTCATGAGTCCGCGGGCGCCGACCACTTGCTCTTGGAATCGGCGGCCCGCTTCCGTTCCGCCTCCTTCTCTTCCCGCAACAGGCGCCCCTGCTTCGCGATGGTCGCCTGGTCCTTCTGGCGGTCCGCGACCCGCTGCGTGGAAACCGCCGTCGTCGCAGCACCGCTCTCGTCGGTGGACGCACTCATCAGCACCTCGAGGCCGGCGAAGTCGGGCACCTTGGCGTTGCGCCGCACCGCCGCCCCTATCTGCACGAGGCGGCGGAACATGAGCTCGGTACCGGCCAGCATGGACACGCCCATCTGGTCGAACTGCACCTGCCAGCGGGGCACCTCAGACAGGGGGAAGTGCTCGCGTGCAGCGGCGCCGTTCATGTTGACGCTGGACTTCCGAGCCCACTCGTGGCGATGCGAGGTTAGCGACTGGCCCTGGGCCCGCAGGCTCTGCAGGAACTCGACCGCCACGCGAGGCCCCGAAAGCGGGAAGTGCTCGATCTTCCCGTTCTCGAGGAGCGCGGGGGCGTCTTCCTCCGAGAGGCAAGGCACGCCGTGCCGGTCGCGCCGCAGGCCAGTCACGCGCGGGTCGCGGCCGAAGGCGGTGACCTTCTCCAGCCGCAGGCCTCACGGCCGACCTCGACCGCCTCGGCGTGGACCCGGCGGCGGTCCACCAGCGCGAGAGCGCTGCCCTCGCGCGCCATGAAGCAGGCAGGGTCGGCCACCGCCGCCTCGGGCACCGCTGAGGCGAAGGCCTCGTGCGCGGGGTCGGCGACCCGCCAGACGGTGTCGGGGGCCGACGTGGGTGCAGCCGTGATCCCGTGCACGGCAGCCAGCATCTTCCCGCGGCGCACGAACTCGGCGAGCTCCGCCGCCGAGATCGGGTCGAAGATGAAACACTCATCGCAGCACGGCGGCGGGATGAGCCCGTTGCGGTCGAGCGGGAAGGCCCGGTGCTGGGAGAGGTCCAAGACCTGCACCGAGCCCGTGGGAGTCACGACCGTCCACAGCCCTGTGCCGTCCGTCTGCACCAGGAGGCGGTGGTGCCAGTAGAACCCGTTGGGGTCGTCGAAGTAGTCGATCCGCACCTGGGGGTTGGGCACATCCAGCGCCCGTGGGGCGCGCGCGGCCGCAGCCGGCGCGCGCGCCATCACGCGGGACTAGGGCCGCCCGCCAAGGCCAGCGGCGAGGCCGGCCCAGTGTAGGTGCCCGGGCGGAGGTGGGCCCCCGCCGGCGAGCGCGTCCGAGGACGCGGCTCACAACAGCCGCGGGTGACCACCCCGACTGCGAAGCCCACGAACAGCAGGAACGCCGCCAGGCCGAATCACGCGGGCGGCGGCAGCAGCGCGCACAGCGGCAGAGGCTCCGCCGCGCACTTGGACGCCGGGGCCGCCGGCGCCTGGACGGAGCTGAGGGAGCCCAGGCAGCGGTCCAGGGCCAGCTCCAGGCCAGGCGAATCGCCCACGCAGCGGGCCGCCTCGCCCGCTGGCACGCCGCCGACCTCACAGTGGCAGCGGCAATCAGGAGACGGGATGTCGAAGGCTCGGCCGAAATGGGTAGCCCAGGTCGAGACAAGATTCGCGACGCCAAGCCAGCCTCCGAAGTCCATTCGGGGAGGCAGTGGATACGCCAGGTATACTCTATAGTCACTATAGAGTATACCTGGCGTATCCACTGCCTCCCCGTTCCCTCTCCACTGAGCAAGTAAAGGAATCGACATTCTCAATATATAACGGCCTTCAGTGCTCAACGCTTCGCCACCCAAAGTCCGAAATTGGTACCGTGCCGGGAGCTGCGGTAATCAACTGGGCAGCTCCATCATGCTCGTCGGAATATTAGCAGGCAAACTCACAAGAAACCCACAACACCTTCCAAAGATGCCCGTCCCGATACTTCATTGAACGGCCCGTCGGGACGCGCTACGCATTCACACCCTTCCACGCCTGGAGTCTGGTGTGGGACTGCATCATAATTTTTATCATCCCGGCAAAGCAACCTAACAGCGATGTGTACGAGCATATCTGGAAGCATTCCCCTTAAGATTCAGATGAGAATCCAATTGTAGAATTCTGCTGTTCTCGCAGTCGCAGTCGCATTCGCGATGACAGTCGCAGTGGCAACGGCAGTCGCAGTCACAGCCTCAGCCTCAGCCTGCCTCAGCCTGCCTCAGCCTCAGCCTCAGCCTGCTTCAGCCTCAGCCTCAGTCTGCCTTCAGCCTCGGCCTCAGCCTCAGCCTGCCTCAGCCTCAGCCTGCATCAGCCTCAGCCTCAGCCTCAGCCTGCCTCAGCATCAGCCTGCCTCAGCCTCAGCCTCAGCCTGCCTCAGCCTCAGCCTCAGCTGCTCAGCCTCAGCCTCAGTCTGCCTTCAGCCTCGGCCTCAGCCTCAGCCTGCCTCAGCCTCAGCCTGCCTCAGCCTCAGCCTCAGCCTCAGCCTGCCTCAGCCTCAGCCTCAGCCTGCCTCAGCCTCAGCCTCAGCCTCAGCCTTCAGCCTCAGCCTCAGCCTCAGCCTGCAGCCTCAGCCTCAGCCTCAGCCTCAGCCTCAGCCTCAGCCTCAGCCTCAGCCTCAGCCTCAGCCTCAGCCTCAGCCTCAGCCTCAGCCTCAGCCTCAGCCTCAGCAGCCTCAGCCTCAGCCCTTCAGCCTCAGCCTCAGCCTCAGCCTTGCAGCCTCAGCCTCAGCCTCAGCCTGCCTCAGCATCAGCCTGCCTCAGCCTCAGCCTCAGCCTGCCTCAGCCTCAGCCTCAGCCTGCTTCAGCCTCAGCCTCAGTCTGCCTTCAGCCTCGGCCTCAGCCTCAGCCTGCCTCAGCCTCAGCCTGCATCAGCCTCAGCCTCAGCCTCAGCCTGCCTCAGCATCAGCCTGCCTCAGCCTCAGCCTCAGCCTCAGCCTCAGCCTCAGCAGCCTCAGCCTCAGCCTGCCTCAGCCTCAGCCTGCATCAGCCTCAGCCTCAGCCTCAGCCTGCCTCAGCATCAGCCTGCCTCAGCCTCAGCCTCAGCCTGCCTCAGCCTCAGCCTCAGCCTGCCTTCAGCCTCAGCCTCAGTCTGCCTTCAGCCTCGGCCTCAGCCTCAGCCTGCCTCAGCCTCAGCCTGCCTCAGCCTCAGCCTCAGCCTGCCTCAGCATTCAAAATGTGGCCCGGGAATGAGTTCTGGGAACTCGAAGGACACGAAGTGGCCTACAGTTGGCTCAGGGCATTCAAAATCATGCCCAGGAATGGAGTTCTGGGAACTCGAAGACCACGAAGTGGCCTACAGTTGGCTCCGGGCATTCAAAATCATGCCCAGGAATGGAGTTCTGGGAACTCGAAGACCACGAAGTGGCCTACAGTTGGCTCCGGGCATTCAAACTCATGCCCAGGAATGGAGTTCTGGGAACTCGAAGACCACGAAGTGGCCTACAGTTGGCTCCGGGCATTCAAAATCATGCCCAGGAATGGAGTTCTGGGAACTCGAAGACCACGAAGTGGCCTACAGTTGGCTCCGGGCATTCAAAATCATGCCCAGGAATGGAGTTCTGGGAACTCGAAGACCACGAAGTGGCCTACAGTTGGCTCCGGGCATTCAAAATCATGCCCAGGAATGGAGTTCTGGGAACTCGAAGACCACGAAGTGGCCTACAGTTGGCTCCGGGCATTCAAAATCATGCCCAGGAATGGAGTTCTGGGAACTCGAAGACCACGAAGTGGCCTGCAGTTGGCTCCGGGCATTCAAAATCATACCCAGGAATGGAGTTCTGGGAACTCGAAGACCAAGAAGTGGCCTACAGTTGGCTCCGGGCATTCAGAATGTGGCCTGGGAGTGGAGTTCTGGGACCTCGAAGACCACGAAGTGTGTAACTGTTTGCTTAAAACGACTTCCGCGGATTCTCCCCGGATCATCCCGGACCCCCCTGGGGAGTCATGATGCTTTCTTTTGAAACCATTAGAAACCTATCAGTCTTCGCTGTTAGGTAACAAAACACCTGGAGGCCCCCGCATGGACCACCAACAACATCCACTCCTGGATAAAGTGTTTATCAACTAACACAACAAATTATCTTGGCGAGAGACCCAACCATACGCAAATGTGAAACCGCAGGGCAAGTGGGACGAAGCAAAGGGAATTCCCAATGGGGCCATGAACCGTGTAAAGGGTGCGCCAAAATGGCGCGGCGGTGACGCCATGCGAACCCTGCCACTGGGGCCTTCAATGGAGCCCCCTACAAGGCAACGAACCGTGTGAATGGTGCGCCAATTGGGGCGGGGCCGCCATGCGAACCCTGCCACTGGGGCCTTCGGTGGAGCTCCCTGTGGGGTCACGAACCGTGTGAAGGGTGTGCCGTAATGGGTGGCGGTGACGCATGCGAACGCACCCACTGAGGCCTTCGGTGGAGCTCCCTATGGGCCACGAGCCGTGTGAGGCGTGCCGTAATGGGTGGCGGTGACGCATGTGAACGCTCCCACTGGGGCCTTCGGTGGAGCTCCCTATGGGGACATGAACCGTGTGAGGGGTATGCTGTAAGGGGTGGCGGTGACGCATCTGGACGCACCCATCGGGGCCTTCGGTGGAGCTCCCTATGGGGCCACGAACCGTGTGAGGGGCGTGCCGAACTGATGATGATGATGATGGTGATGATGATGACGATGATGATGGTGACGGTGATACTGATGATGGGGATGCTGATGATGGGGAGAGGGAGGGGGGCAGCGGCAGGAAGGACGCGGGCGCTGTCTGTTCAAAACGAGGACCTAACGACGAACAACAACATGGCTATATGCGGACATAGATCTTTCCATGAGAGATCCGGAGGTACATGCGCCGTCGACCGTAAGACTTCCTCTGGTGCTCAAAAACTTGTTCGGATTCCAGGGGCCGCTGGGGGATCAGAAACTTCCGCGGGGCACCTGCTGCCAAGTCAATGTCTTAATTGATGCGCAGGCTGTGCTGTGCACTCAGCACCGCAATCACCACACCCTCGCCACTGCCGCCGCTGATTGCGCGAAGACTTCTTCGGTGTCAGCAACGTCTCGATGGACTCTTTGAGCGCCTCCTGCGCGAAGGGGGGCAGCCCACGAGCGCGGTGCACGACGCGCCGTCGCGCTGATATTTGAACGTGGGTCTCTCAGAATGTGATCTGGGTGGTTCCTGTCATGACGACTTGCACATTGGTTCCTGACACCGCGTGGATCTTTCAATAACGCCAATCGTGCGATGTTGGCTGATTCTGGGCCGCCGGTAGCCTTCAACCTTGAACGCCCACGCTGAGATCACCGCTGCATAAACGTGCCAATAACTAACCTGCCGTATCTGCCCCTCGCTGGAGGAAGAAACAGCTGGGGAGAGTAATGTTGGCAACAGCAGGGAACCAAGCTCCCCACCGTAGCTCCCAGTAGCAACACCGTCCAGTGAGAAAGACCTGCTCTCATTGCGTGGCCGTCTTACCCAACTGCTCACCTTGTCTCTCCCGCCCTGCTGCATGTCGACTTGCACATCCATTTTCAAATCATCCCTATCATTCGACGTCGAAGCTATACTTAGTGACGTGGGTTCCCGGGGATCTCGACTCCTTCCCATAATAGCTGTGTGACGCTCCCGTGGCCAGGAAACGGACTCCCGAGCGTGGATTTCTTGAGGGGGCGCTAGACACCCTCTCCACACACCCCTGGGCGGCGCTTCCGGCGCCGCCCTCAGTACGTTCAGCGTGCCTGGGAAAAGGTGGGGGGAGAGAGCTCCAGCACCGACCCAATAAATCCGCCCAGACCTTGCTCATGTCATTGTTTGCTTGTCTTTTACTCCCGAATCGAGACTGCGGAACCCGTGCTTCGAATCTGAAAGGTCGTTCGTTTCGCGCATGGGCCACCAATTCCAACTTCCCGCCCCTCGGACGCCTTCGCCGTCGCACCTGCCTGGGGGGGCCTCTCCTTCAGGAAACCGGCATGTGTTTTGCTGTCAGCCACGTCATTCTACTCATCCTTCTCCTTCTCCTCTTGGTTCCCGTGGCCTTAGCCCCCCTTCCCTCCCATACCACAGGTGCTGTGCCGCCAGAGCGGCAAAAAAACGGCTCCATGGAAAGAGGAACCCTCCTGCCTTGCGGTCGGCACGGAAAGACTGAGTGCATAAACTGGGCCAGCAAAACAGGTGCATGTCCGCTCCCCTCCTCACCAATCACGGGTATAGAACCGGGGCAAGAAATCAAACGTCGCAGCAGAGCCGTCGCCAGCCGCATCTCCTTCACCGTCTTCGCAATAGAGGTGAACCGTTCCTGGGGGTCAACATGATCCTTCTCATTGACCCATCTGCCTCTCTTGGCTCGCCCCATGTTAGAACGTCTTCGCCCACCCCTTCCTCAACATCCTCCCTGATTACTAACTGGCCGCTGCGCAATTGACCGGGATATTCTGTATATAGAAGACGGGGCGTGTGCTTGTGGGCGAAAAGAGAATAAACGGGAGGCGGTGGCATCCAACACCTCCCGCCCCACCTCCTCCAAGCATCCTCCTCCTCCCCCTCCTCCTCCTCCTCCACCACCTCCTCCAACTCTCTTCATCCTCCTTTTCCTTTTCCTTCTTGTTCCCCTTTCCGTTTCCTCATCCTCCTCCTCCTCCTTCCCATCCTCCTCCTCCTCCTCGTCTTTCTCCTCCTCCTCCTCCTCCTCCTCCTCCTCCTCCTCCTCCTCCTCCTCCTAAAGCGAAATCTGTGTCGCAATCAATGGAATGCCAATCTTTCCCCAGCGGCCGACGGCGCAACCTATAGCGCAACCACCAACGGGAGGCAGTTTTTTGTTATCTTCGGCGGCCGAGGAAGCAACCTAGATCGCAACCGATGGATCGAGAGCTCGCGAAGGCCCCGCAGCGAACGCACCAGGCGGCCCTCCCCCCATCAGCCACACCCTGTGCGTCTTGTTGCTAGTCCTGGTAACCTTGGGCAGCCCGCCACAAAGGGAAAACGCAAACTGCTGCGCGAGAAGTTCCTCTCCCGCCGCAGTGCAAACACATAAGCGAGAACTTGCCGACTTGCTCTATCGCGTGGCCCTTGAGGATCAGGAGCGAGCTCCAGGAGACACCGCTCGGCCCATCTGGGCAGACGGAACCGAGCCACATCAGGAAAGGACCGAGAACGCAAACCACCCATGATTTCGGCGATCAGCCATGCTGCTGGCCGCGCTCGCGGCACGAATTCGTTGTGGCATTACTTGGTGCGTGGATTGTGGGGCCAACTCGTCGGCCTTCTGATTCTCCCGCCAATTTCCATTCTTCTATCCTGCGAACGCGGGACTGGAGGGACAGGTGAGACGCCATCTTACTCAGCGCGCTGTTGTCTATACCCACGTCTGTCGCCAACCTGAGAATATCCAACAAAAGCTCCAGGGAGGCAACCTTCTAGAGGTCCCGCAAGGGCCCTTTCATCCACGCGTTAATGACCGCGGCGCGGTCTGTCGCCACCTCCAATAGGTTCAGCCCTCGCGAGGCGAAGGCGCACCAGGCAAGCAAATGCCCCCTCGCAACCAGCAGCCGAAACCGCGCGTGGAAGTGCTCCGCGCGACGATCCCTGAAAACAGCTCCCACACCCATCCGAGCAAACGCTCGCCGCGGCCCATCCGCCCTGGAGAGCTGAGGGAGCTCTGGGCCCGAGCCAAGCCCATCGATGCAGACCCTGGTCCTCCAGACGCCTCCTCGGGATGGGGGGCGCCGCCCACTTGTGGCCAACCGCTGGAAACGGCGCAAGCCAAACTGTCGGGCTCGGCACTAAGCCCCTGATCACAAGCAAGATGGCGCTTGGGTCATGGGGCTCCAGAATCATATCGCCCACGCCGAGGTCTCCCCGGACAGGCGCAGAACATCTCACAACATGTGAAACGATGCATCCGCGCCCCCCCCCGCTGCTGCCCCACTAGCCTGACAGAGCGGGCCCACCGCGCGGCAGTCGTCGCATAGGTGGAGCTGAGCGGGGCAAGCCCCTGCTACAATGCCCGCCACCCCCGTTGCTGCCGCGCGTTTCTCCCGCGGCCCACGCCCGCGTAAAATCTCCAGGGCGGGCTCCAATAGAGGCCCCCAGCTTCCAATGCAGGCCAGTGACCCGAGACCCATCGCCGAGACATGCCAAAATTCTATGCCCCGAACTCTGTGGCGCAGGATCACCTTGGAGGGCCGGCAATCCGAGTGGGAGACATCTACTTCGATACCAGCGCGACTGCAACAGCGATTCCAATCGAGGACCTCCCAGTCGAGTCTCTCGACCGCCCCAGCAGGCCCTCGGGCGCCCTGCCCCTTCGCGCGGGGCGCCGAAGGAACGGGGGATAACTGAACTACATAGCTTTGACATCCACCCGCCCTTGCGCGGCAGCCTGCCCCCAAGTCCAGATAAGCAACGCATGGGCGTCGAACGCTGGATCTGCTTCGGGGCCCACCGAGATCAAGAACTCAAGCGACCGACAGCGATGTTCGACGCGCCAGACAGTGCTTGCACGAGCGCGCTGCGCAGTTGCGCGAGCGGAGTCGCCGACGCCCACTGCGCCATGCACCCGTGCGACGCTGAGGCCAAGCCTGCCAGGCGAGCCGCCCTGAACACGCCTGTTGCCAAACTTCCGACGCCCCTGGTGCGACCCCCTCGGGCATTGGGCCGTTGAAGCCGCTGACGCAAAACTATCGAAATTCGGCCTCCCTGTCTGCGTAGTTTGGTCGGTTCCTAGACTGCGGCCAGAGCGAGCGCCTTCGAAGTTCCACCTGCTTAACGCACGCACAGTCGCGACGCGCGTGGAGGAGTGGCTGCTGAGCAACAAGCCGTTCGGTTGGAATCCAACCAGATGGAGGAGCGCGAGGAACGCGCACAACAAGATAAAGCTGCAAGCAGCACCCTCTTCACAAACTTGCTACGACCTGCCGCCTGCGCCGAAATATCGCCAGCAACGTTGCGCGGCCAAGCGCCGGGTAACAACATTCTGATCGCGCCCACGCGTTCCGTCAGCATCGAGCTCAGCAGCGAAGTCGCAAACCCATTGTCGGCAAGGGCCCCTTGGCGCGCGACGACTGGGCCGCCGGCCGCGGTCGAAATAATCTCAGTTTGGCGGGGCTCAACTCGTGCTCGACCCCAGCCACTGCGAGCGCGTAACCACGAACCCTCTCGCAGGCCGTCGCCCAACCCCTCGCGCGTGGACTGCGCGGCGCACCCGCAGCTCCTCAACTACTTGTCCAACCTGAACAGCTGGGAACGGACAGCGGCGGCAAGCGCAAGGGCCTTGGGCTCGTTCGCAAGGGCCGCGGCGCAGGGCGGCGGCAGCCGCGGGGGCGAGAAGAGAGTCAGGCGAAGGAGCTAGGGGGCCGAGGCGATGGGCGGGGCAGCCAGGGAGAGAGGGGGCGCGCAAGACGAGACAGAGTAAGTGGATGAAGCGAGGACAGGACCAGCAATGCGAGAGCATGTCGCGACTGGGGTCGATCCCGTTCGGGGCGCAGCCGAGCGCGCAGTTGCGGCCGTGCTGGGCAGCGGGCCAGCTGTTGAGCGGAACTTTGAGAATGGCATTCGATTGGGCGCGCGGGAGCGCGGGCATTCCCTCGCGGACGCCCCCTACCCACCCCCCACCACCACCACCACCGCCCGCGGCCAAGCTCGAATCTGGGTTTCGGTTTCGGGCGACCAGCGGAACAGACGCGCGGCGAAGATGACGGCCAGGCCGTCAAGAAATCTATGTTCGACACGGCCCTGCGAAAATGGCATTGGATCTCGAAGCGAGGAGGGGGGGGGGGGGGCGCGCGGCAGTCGCAGCAGCGGGAGAGGGGAGCTCAACCGAAGCGGGAGAGGACGCGATCAGGCCATGTCCGCTAGGTACGGGAAAACCGCTATTCGCAATCTCCAGGAACTCAGCGAACGAATTTTGCTTCCAACGGCGAGGGGGGCGCTGCCCCTGGAAAATCAGAACGACAGGGGGGCGCCCTTCGGCATTCTCTCGCAGAGATCGGGCCATGGGGCCCCGACTGTCAAAAGTCTTACGGCCGGCGCGCGTTGGGGCGGAAGCGGCGGCGAGGAGGGGGCCCGGAAAGCGCGGGCCGTTCCATCTCCAGAGGCCAAAGTAAGCGGAGGCTGGGACGGCACAGCGTGGGATGCGCCAGAGACTAGCGAGGGCGGCGAGCCCAGGCGAGATCAGCAGGGACTGGGCGAAATTGAGCGACATAACATAGCACCGAGACTCATCTGACATAATAATGTTGCGCTGTCACTCCGCCAGGGGAGCCCGTCGCTGTCAATGGAAGGGAACGAGGTCTCCATTCTGCCGCCGAAGGATTCCAACTCTGCAGGGCAACCTCAGGACTTAAACGGGGGCCAAGATAGATCAGGCTCGGGCCCACTTCGGACAATGTCCAATCTGGAAGGTGGGCAGCAAGCCAGCCGCGATGCCTTTTGGCATTCGCATCCGGAGACTCGCCACGCAGAGGAACAAACTTGCACTTGCTAGCTTCGAGGATCAAGCTAGCCACTCTGGCCGCAACTCTGAAGACCCCCGAGGAATTACGTTAAGCACCTGAGTGCTCACTATGGCCGCGCCCAAGCCATCGGCACATGCGCGGATCGCCCCAATCTGTCCGGCGCTCGCGCTGCGATCGAAGCCCGGCATGAACGGGGCCCGCGCGCACAGCGAACAGAAAGCCTGACCCAGGGCAGCCCTGGATGATGCCGCTCTGCGCGGAGCGCGGGAAGCTGGGGTCCGTGGAAGTGGCGGCGAAGCACTGCGCACAACGATGCAGTTCCGCAAATAACCAGCATACAGAGGGCACCACGCCCATGCGACGGGTCCATTCGTGGGCGACACTTGGGAAGGCCTGCTGGAAATCAAAGCTGAGCAACGAGGGCATGGCTACGGCGGCGCTGTCTTGCATAGGGTAGAGCCTGGAAAGAGGAAAGAGCGCCGAGCTCGATGCGATTGTGTCCGAAGCTTCTTGTGGTGATGAGACCTCTTCGCACGGGATTGGTAATGGACGGAAGGTGTCGCGATATTTTCCGAACAAGGATCCTGTGATGAGTTTGTTTCCCGTGTGTTTGAATCCCAACGGGCGCAGATTAACAAGTGCCCTGAGACAGCCATTGGGGGGGTCCTGATCCTCGATGCCTCTGCTGAAAAATATGCCTAGGAGATCGTTAAAGCCAATCGGCAAACGCCGCTCACCCAAGATACACCACATTACGTCATGTAGAATGCCTTCGGGGAACAGGGAATTCTGGAAGGCCTGGTATGGGAGCCCATCAGGACCAGGAGCAGAGTGAGGGAGACGA